TATAAGGAAAGAAAATTTTCGCGCCGAGTTTGTACCATGCGACCGCATGGTTATCCTCTTTTTTCGTTCTAAATCCCTGCATATCTTCGTGCGGCCACACGACGTTTCTACCATGCGACCGCATGGTAGAGTTGAACTTTCAGTTCCTACAATTTGGTCCTTTCACTTTAATCTTCCACTTCTTTACATCTTTTCTTCATTCTTCACATTCCATCATCCCAAAATGTCATTAATTCGTATTTGACAAACTCAATTTCTTGATTTGTACATCGGGTCAACTTTTGAGTAATTGCACATTGGTCCTTGAACTTTCACTTTGTGTCATTTTAGTCCTTTTTCGCGTCTTTTCTCATATATTTCACCATGTCCATCGGTGTTACCTACAATTCACAAATGTAATGAAATTAAGTCACAATTCAATCATTTTATTCGTAATTAAGTCATGCTTGTGACCTAAATATGTGTGCAAAAACACACTTATCAAACTCCCCAAACTTGAACTATTGTTTGTCCTCAAATAAGATTGTGACTAAATTCTGAACAAACATGGCTTAATACCCTACTACGGCTCAGGATTGGACTAAGTGTTCGATTTGATGAAGATATATCAGTGCAAAAAGATTAATGGCATCAACATTCGCCTGTTAAATGCGCACTTGACGTGTGTGTGTGAGTTTACGCCAACATATTAGATTCATGATGGGTTTGAGTCCCGACCCCAAGTGGTCAAATGTAACCTTACTCGCTCGAGAGATACACAACCCCCCAAACTTATTATTTTCACTAAATTATCTCGGCGTTGTGATTTTAAAATTAGGGGTTTACATAGCTGTAGTCCTCACCCTCTCGTAGTTTGGATTAATTTCACTATCACAAGTTTACAATTCAACAAGTGAAGGTTCTCCTAAATTTGATTGCTTCGACACTCAAGATTAAACTAGGTTACTTGTCTCGCCTCAAAGGTATAGTTTCTTCAACCAAATGTCCAAGGGCTTTTCTTCATGTTATTGTTTCTCTTTTGTTTTTCTCACTTTTCTCTAATTTTTATGATTTTTTTCTTTTACCATCTTCTCATTTGCTTTCTATATAACTCATGTAACGAGCTTTAGGCTGGTGACTCCCAAACCAGTTGGCTTTAGGGCACTAGGTTTTAAACCTTTGCAGGCTTATTCACTCGAATTATAAAGGCTCGATCAGATGACTTTCAATTAACATCTTTCCCTCTTGCTTTCTATATGACCCTTTTAGCGAGTTTTAGGCCGGTGACTCCCAAGTTAGTTGACTTTAGTGCACCAGATTTTGAAATATCCTTACAGATTTATTTGCTCGAGTCATAAAGGCATGAAAAGAAGTGTATTATTTTTACAAATTTATTTTATGCCCTTATTGTTCTAGACATTTAGTTTCCAAAACTAACCTCTAATTTAAGATTTTCATCTAATCTTCACCCTACTGGTCTAGGCAATCTACACAATAGAATTCATGCACGGAGCCTCCACTCATCTCAATGCTCCCTTACAATAGCTCAACCATCACCAAACTATCTTAAGGTAGTTTACGGTTTAATTCAATAGAAAGTTATCATTCTTTTTCTATTTTATGCTCAAAATCCAGTCATTTATCTAATATGTCAAACATAAATAGTGTGCACAAATAATGTTAAGTTTTGCATCAACAAGTATCAGATAACCTAATTGCATTAGATCCAAAGATTTTGCAGTTTAACCTAATCTAATTGTAACATCATAGCTAACAAGGTTATCAAGCCCACACACATATGCATAAGAAGAGTTAGAACAAAAATGAATAAAATGCAAAAAAAATTTCATGCACACATACCGATGAACACAGATAATACAGATACTTAGTTAAAATTATGTCACCTCCCCAAACTTTGTTACTACATTGTCCTCAATGTAAAATTAACAAAAGATGAAAGACAGAATTTTACGGACTACATAAAAATGAAAATCAAAAATATGGTAAATAGTACTTCCCTTGAATCAAAACGGATGAGGTGGTGGGAAATTGGGTCCTGCTGTACCATCATCCGACGGAGGGGGGTGTCGTCCGAGGACATACCGTATTATCTCATTCATTTCCCGCATCAAGGTAGACTGCTGTATCTGCTCGGCCTGGATAGCTCTCATGGTCTCCCAAGTTTCATTCACCCTCATCTGGGTACCGTCTACCCGACCAACATACATGTTCAATCGGCCATTCATGGTGTCAACCTCCCATCGCATGACTGTAGTATGATCCCTAGCATCTCTAATGTAGTTCAATGCAAGGTGATTGTCCCTTTGTAAGCTTCCTAATTCAGTCCTCATGTTACCAAAATCTTGAAAGAAGCTGTGAAGGTCCCGGCTACTGCCCGTAGTGGTGGAGAAAATCTGTCTCAGCAACTGATTATCCATTCCAGCTAGTGGGACTGCAGCCCATGGGTGGTCCTAATCTTCAGGGATTTGACCTTGTTCTGCCTGCTGCCTACGTCGCTCGTTTTCCTGCTCTTCCCTGTGCTTAACCCGAGCCCTTGTCTGAGCGTCAAATGTAGTTCTTTTGATCATTGGACTAGGTTTTTCAAGTAACTCCTAAGGTAAGAGAGCAACACCCGCAGCCCGACATATGCCACTAATGAGGCTCGGGAATATCAAAGTGGAGCGTCGATCCCTCCAAGTCCCCAATGAGTGCAGTTGATTGTATATATGAGTGGCGAGATCAATTTTGTTACCTCGAGCCAAGTGGTAAATGAAACCTGCTGTCTGATCTGGGAATGTAGTCCTGTGTGATATCGGCTCAACATTGTGGCACATAAAGAGCCATAGAATGGCCATGGAAGGAGTAAGCTCAATCTGATGCCACTCGATAGTGTCGAGGGGCCATGCATTCTCTCGCCCCATTAAAACCTCAGCCATCTCATTCCAGTTAAAGTTAATTGGGAGGGGGACCACATTCTCCATGGTAAGCTGGTAGTAGTCATGAATGACCTCGGGAGAGAACATAATCCATTTCCCCCACACCCAAGTCTGATGGAAATGGTCGGAGCCTAGCGTGTCAATTTCACTGTTGAAGTTAGCGAAGAACTCTCGGCATAAGATCTTATAGAGTAGATGCGGTCTCTCTACTAACTTTTGCCATCCACAGAGCTGAATTAAATTGACCAACTCAAACCTCGAGAAGTCATCAAGCTTAACCGGTCTTTCAGCATGCAAAGTCCAATGGCGTACGATATTTTCATATCGTGCCGTGGTAATTTCAGTTAGGAATCGCTGAATTTCGCCCGCGACCTCTCGAGTACGGGCTGTTCCTGTGGATGAGCTTGCCTTTTCCTTCCCACGCACCGTTCTTTTTGGAGGCATCCTGCAAAGTTTGTAGGAATATACTCATTAAGTCGATGTAGAAAGCATAAGCAAGAAATAAGAACAATTTAATAAGCTAGTAAGCATTGCACAAATTCCCCAAACTTTCCTAGATGCATGTGTAGTAATATGGTGTACACGTAGCAAGCTATGATGTTTAGTTGAATTTACGTAATTTGCCAATAAGAAAAAAAAGGGGAAAGATTAGGTGTATCTAATCAATATTTCAGAATACGGAACCATGATCGAGTGCCCACCTTCGACCCTTGACATCATTGAGAATTAGCAAAATTTTCCCGGACAATCTCCGGGCATATCAAAACATTCATTGAAATGTAGCACATGTTCGAATTTCAAATCAATTGGAGGTTGTTTGGTGTGTCAAATGAAGATGCAAAATAGGGGACGGAGGTTGCCGTGATGTGCGGTGACCTAGTCATGTGCCTATGTGGTGCAATGCGAAAGTGGGTGTTATCTAGTTCAAATTAATCGGGAAATCGTTGAAATACATCGAATGCCATGTTGGTGAAACATGTATATGCAAAAGGCATTTAATTTCACATACAAGGGTATTGTGGCATTTAAGCAAACACTTGGTGTGCATTAAGTGAAGATGTGACCAATGTAAAGAATTGAATGTAGGAATCATTCCAAAATTTCCACAACACAATCACCACAAATCCATACACACATGAACTAGCCTAATCTTCCTCAAATTGCCAAAATTAAAATTCCAATCATGAAAACCCGAAAACGGAATTGAGAGGGGTGTAAGAATACGTACCTTGTGTTTGTAGGGTTGAATGGAGGTGGAAAGTTGATTTCCTTTCGATGTTATTACAATGCAATGATGAGATTCTTGTGTAGAATATGTGATGCTAGCCCAAATTGTGCCCTAGGTGAGTGTGGTCGGGAGAGAAGTTTGGGAAAAAAAAGTATGAAAAAGAGAGGAAAAATTGGGCGTGGGTTTAAAAACCCATGCCTCATTATTGCCATGCGGCCGCATGGCTTTAGTCCCTGCGGTCGCATGGTTCAAGTGGCTTTGGCCACTTGATTCTCGGATGGTATATGTACGGTCGCATTGTGCGACCGCATGGAAATATATATATATATATATATATATATATATATTTATATTATTTATTTATTTATTTAAGGAATTAATAGTAAGAATAAAATAAAAATGGTCTCCCCAAAAGCCCGACTTTTGACTAAAATTATGGTTTTCACTTGAGGAATTGACCCGGTTTTTAACGTCCCCAATTTTTTTTTCCAAAAACATACTTCTAACAATTCTGGGACGTGTATGGGTCGTAAATTTAATACCCAAAACCAAATTTTTTTAAATAAATAATTGACATGTGAAATTTAGAAAATAAAATTTTCCTCGAAATGCATGAGTTTCACACCCAATCTCCCAAACTACTCCAATCAACCCGACTCGTGTGTACAGTGCTTGGACTCGTTTAACTTGTATGGATGATCGATGACCACATAAAGAAAATGTAAAATGAAATTGAAACAAAAATAATTTCTAATCTAAGTTCAGAGAGCATAATAAATTAAATGAAAAGGATACAGTGGGTTGTCTCTCATCCAGCGCTAGGTTATAGTCGATAGCTCGACTTTTCTGTAGCTGCTTCATTCTGGCGTCTCGAGTTGAACGGTGGACTTTTGGTTGGAGAAGTCACCGCCCCAATAGTGTTTCAGTCTTTGCCCATTAACAGTGAAGATACCCTTAGTCTCATGGCTCACTTGTATAGCCCCATATGGTAGAACTTTCGTGACAGTATAAGGACCCGACCACCTTGATTTTAGTTTTCTTGGGAAAAGCTTGAGTCTCGAGTTATACAATAGCACTTTCTGCCCCACTTCAAACTCTCACCTCTAAATATGCATGTCGTGCCATTTCTTTGTTCGTTCCTTGTAAAGTTTTGAAATTTCATAAGCTTCCATTCTAAACTCATCTAACTCATTAGGTTGCAGCAGGCACTTTTCACCGACGGCGCTCAAGTCCATATTCAACTGTTTCATAGCCCAGTATGCCCGGTGCTCCATTTCTAGTGGCAGATGGCACGCCTTCCCAAAGACTAGGCGGTATGGAGACATGCCTATCAGGGTCTTGAATGCTGTTCTGTAAGCCCATAATGTATCGTCCAGCTTTTTAGACCAATCATTTCTAGATGAATTCACAGTGACTTCTAGTATTCTCTTCAGCTGCCGATTAGATACCTCAACTTTCCCACTGGTTTGTGGATGATATGGAGTAGCAACGCGGTGTTTAACGCCATATTTATTCAGCAACTGCTCAAACTGGCGATTACAGAAATGATTGCCCCCATCGCTGATTATAGCCCGTGGTGTACCATATCGGGTGAAAATGTATTTCTTCAAGAATCCAATTACTGCCTTTGAGTCATTTGTTGGCAATGCAACTGCTTCCACCCATTTTGATACGTAATCCACTGCCACCAAGATATACTGATTTGAAAACGAAGGGGGAAAAGGTCACATGAAGTCGATTCCCCAAACATCAAATATCTCCACTTCCAAAATATTGTTCAGTGGCATTTCATTCCTCCTCGAGATATTCCCAGCGCGTTGACATCTGTCACACCTCTTAACAAACTCAAATGTGTCTCTAAACAATGTAGGCCAGTAGAAACCTGATTGTAGAATCTTTGCAGCTGTTTTTGAAGCTCCAAAGTGCCCTGCGTAAGCAGACGAATGGCAGTGCTCGAGAATCTCATGTACTTCTTCCTCAGGTATGCATCTTCTTACTATTTGATCAGCCCCCCCCCCCCCCCCCCGTCTATAGAGAATTGGGTCCTCCCAAAAATAATACTTCAATTCGGAGAGGAACTTTTTTCTTTGGTGACTCGAGTAGTCCGGTGGTGGGATGGAACTGGCCAAGTAATTGACAATATCTGCATACCAAGGTACTTCATCTACTCTCAACATTTGCTCATCTAGGAAGATCTCATTGATTTCCACTAATTTATCTGTCTCCCCAGGCTCTAATCGGGATAGGTGATCCGCTATTACATTCTTACTGCCCTTCTTGTCTCGTATCTCGATATCGAATTCTTGCAGCAATAGCACCCAATGAATCAACCTCGACTTTGCATCCTTATTTGTGAGTAGATACTTTAATGCAGCATGATCTGTGTAGACTATAACTTTAGACCCGACAAGATATGACCTGAATTTGTTGAATGCATATACTACAACCAATAGCTCCTTTTCAATGGTGGCATAGTTGATTTGCGCTTCATTAAGATCCTACTTGCATAGTAAATTACGTGAAAGATTTTGTTTCTCCGTTGTCCCAATACTGCACCCACGGCATGATCACTTGCATCACACATCAATTCAAAAGGGAGTTCCCAGTCTGGTGCCACAATTACTGGTGCTGTCGTAAGCTTCTCCTTTAAGGTGTTGAATGCTGTGAGGCATTCTTCATTAAACTCAAAGGTGACGTCTTTCATTAGCAGATTGCATAATGGTTTAGTGACCTTCGAGAAGTCTTTTATAAATCTCCTGTAGAAACCCGCATGCCCCAAGAAACTACAAACTCCTTTAACTGATGTAGGTGGTGGTAACTTCTCAATAACTTGAATTTTTGCCTTGTCTACCTCAATTCCTTTTCGATGCTCGAGTACAATGCCTTCTTGCACCATAAAGTGGCATTTCTCCCAATTTAAAACCAGGTTAGTCTCCTTGCATCTCTGTAAGACCAAATTTAGGTGCTCTAAACATTCATCGAATGAGGACCCAAACACTGAGAAGTCGTCCATGAAAACTTCAATAAACCTTTCAATCATATCGGAGAATATTGCCATCATACACCTCTGAAATGTGGCTGGGGCGTTACAAAGACCAAAAGGCATCCTACGATAAGCAAAAGTACCATAGGGACAGTTGAAAGTGGTATTTTCCTGATCTTCTGGTGCGACAGGTATTTGATTATAGCCCGAGTATCCATCTAGGAAACAGTAATGTGAATGTCCAGCCAATCTTTCTAACATCTGATCGATGAATGGGAGGGGGAAATGATCCTTTCGTGTGGTTGCATTGAGCTTGCGATAGTCGATGCAAACTCTCCATCTCGTAACTATTCTGGTGGGAATTAATTCATTTTTCTCGTTTTTCACCACCGTGATTCTCCCTTTTTTCGTTACCACTTGAACTGGGCTAATCCATGCACTATCTGAAATTGGGTAAATAATTCCTGTATCCAGTAATTTCAATATCTCTGCCCTGACTACTTCCTTCTTGTTTGAATTTAATCTTCTCTGATCCTCTATACTTGGCTTGCAATTTTCCTCCATTAGAATCTTATGCATGCACAGAGAAGGGCTGATCCCTTTAATGTCAGCTATTGTTCACCCAATCGTCGTCTTGTTCTCTCTGAGTACATTGAGCAGTTTTTCTTCCTCCACCTCACTGACTGTATTTGAAATGATTACTGGAAGTGTATCTGACTCCCCCAAATATGCATATCTGAGATGTGGTGGTAATTGCTTGAGTTCCAGAACTAGTGGCTGCTGAACAGAAGGTAGTGGCTTTGTGTTTTCGGTCCCCAGTTCCTCGAAGTGCCTCTTTCGGGTGTATGGCAGGTTGGTCTCCAAAAATTTTGCACATGTTTCAACTTCAAAAGACTCTGACTGGATTGATTGGGATTGTACAATACATGCCTCATAGGCATCAGATGGACCGTGTAGTAAGAATGTTTCTTGTACTGTCTTGTCAATAAGGTCAACTTGATAACAGCGTAGTTTCATTGCCTTGAATGCATTGAATGATATCTGCTCATCTCCCAATCTTAAAATCAACTGACCTCTCTGAACATCAATTAACGCTCTCCCTGTTGCCAGAAATAGTCTGCCAAGTATCAATGGGACGTCCTTGTCCTCTTCCATGTCCAGGATAAGAAAGTCCGCTGGGAATATGAACTTCTCAACCTTGATAAGCACATCTTCAATTATACCTCTGGGGTGTGTCAATGACCTGTTAGCCAGCTGAAGTGTCACAGTGGTTGCTTTAGCTTCTCCCAAACCGAGTTTCCTGAAAACAGACAAAGGCATTAAATTGATACTTGCACCGAGGTCACATAATGCTTTATCAAAATATACTTCACCGATTGTGCAGGGAACAGTAAAACTCTCTGGATCTTTTACTTTTGGTGGAAGCTTATTCTAGATTCTGGCACTACATTCCTCCGTAAGCATAACTGTCTCATGGTCTTTCAGCTTGCATTTATTTGATATGATATCCTTCAGAAATTTCGCGTAGCTAGGCATCTGGAACAGTGCATCAGCTAGTGGGATGTTGATATGGAGCTTTTTAAATATTTCTAGAAATTTTTTTGTATTGTTGCTCCACTTTTTGCTTCTTCAAGCACTGTGGAAAAGGAATCGGAGGCTCGTAGGGGTTGACTGTGACTTTGGCCTTATCTTGTGATTCTTCTGAATTTTCTTTTGAACTTGATTCCTTTACAACAGTCTCTTCTTCAGCGGAGGAAGATGTTTCTCTAATCACACCCGATCTCTTAACATGGATTTTAGGTAATTGCACTCCACTTCAAGTTGTAATGGCCTTAGCTTGCTCTTTAGGATTGATTTCTGTATTACTTGGTAAGTTACCTGGTGTTCTGCCAGTCAATGCGATGGCTAGCTGCCCCATCTGAGTTTCCAAATTTTTGATGGCTGCATTTTGATTTTGAAGTGTAGCTTCGGCCTTCTCCATGAATTTTCCTATCATATCTTCCAATTGAGGCCTCTTCTCCTGTTGTTGAAATTGCCTCTGTGGCTTATTCTGATTCTGGTTGCTCCAAGAGAAGTTGGAATGCTTCTTCCAGCTGGGATTGAAAGTCTTTCCATATTGATTATGCTGTTGGCGTTGTCCCCACTATGCGTAATCTGCTTGCTCAAGTCCTTGCATGAGTATTGGGCAATCTGATGTTTTGTGCTCGGCTCCACATTCCTCACAATTACTCTTCTTAGCTTGTGATGCTTGTGATATGCTTTCCACCTTGTGATACAGAGAGTCAATTTTTGCAGATATTGCTGAATAAGCGTCCACCTCGTAGACCAATGCACCATCAACTATTCTTGTGGGTATTGAGCCATCTGATGCTGAATCCACCATGCTCTCATGGTATGGGAGTAATCCTGTGTAGAAGAATCGAATCTGGGTCTTTTTATCGAACCCATATTAAGGGCATTTTCAGAGCATGTTTTTAAATCTGTTCCAGGCTTCGTCGAATGATTCATTCTCTCCTTGATTGAATACTGATATATCATGTCTCAACTTCGCTATCTTGGCTGGGGAGAAGAACTTTGTGCAGAATTTGTGTGCCACCTCATTCCATGTAGTGATACTTGCAACAGGGAGTGAATCCAACCATTCAAGTGCTCTGTCTCGTAACGTATGTGGAAAAAGCCTTAATCTGATAGTGTCATCCGAAATCCCTTGGTATCTGAAATGTTGACACATATCTAAAAATCGAGATACGTGTGTGTGTGGATTCTCCTCGGCTTTGCCAAAGAATTGGTGTCCATTTTGAAACAGCTGTATTACATTGGTCTTCAATTGAAAGTTGGGCTGCCCAAATGGTGGATATACAATGCTGGATTGGCTTTGAATAACTTGAGGAGTCAAGAAGTCCCCAGAATTTCATTTTCTTCATCCACTGCCTCTCCTTCGTTAGCTTGAATAATAGGATTGTTTAATTCGTTGGCCATTTATACTTGTGCTTCACGGTGATCTCTTTGTCGTCGATGAAAGGTGCGCTCAATTTCAGGATCAGCTGGAATCAATTCTCCTCCAGGCAATCGTGACATGCAAATCTGAGAATTAAAACCAGTACGAGCACTGAGATTCAAACAATTTAAATAACTAAAACACAAATAAAAGATATTAACCTAAAATAAAAATAAAAATAAAAACAGAATTATGTTTGCGAAATTATTTCTTTCGATTTTAAACCACTGCAAGTGTACGGTTCGTTAATAAGTAATAAAGTAGATTCAATGAGTCCGAATATCGTTCCATAGAGATTGATTAGTTCAAATTTTATCTACTTTAGCCTTAACCGAAACTAAATT